TGTAAACACTGCCTCGCCCTAGCAGCCGAACAAAAGGCTGATCCAGAACGTGTACCCTCGCCGTATACTGAAAGAACTCCCCCACTAGGATCTCGTACAGTCACCAACTGTCGCTCGCAATCGATAACCGCACCGAATCGGCTCAACCAATCCATGCCCACTATAACACAAACATCACCCATCGCAATCGGAATCAGGTCGATCGGAAACTCGACCCCGAATATCTCCAATACACATCCCCGGAAGACCTCTGTAGCACAAATCACTCTGTCGGCGGCTATGGAAACCCGCAGGGGCCGACTCAATACTCCACGACTAACACTGATACGCTGACTAAATGCCAAGACACAAAAGATCGACTCGCACCCGAGTCAAATAACACTAAAGCAGGTACAGAATTCACAAGGAAGGTACCTAAGCATAGCATGATATAAGCATAATATCTCAACATCATAAACAATAATGAAAAGGAAACATACCAGCCACAACGTCGGGTGCGGCGCGGACCTCTTCCGCAGTCAGCTGGAAGGCTCTCCCCGAGCCCTTGGTGCTCGGCCTTCACGGGCCGACTCTCTGCAGCAGCAGCTCTGATGGCGGCGGGGGCAGACCCCTGAGATGCCCCCGCAGCAGTGGACACTCCGCCTTCCGGTGTCCGGTCTGGTTGCAGTGGAAGCACACTGCAAATCCCTTGGGGCAGTCCTTAGCCATATGCCCCTCCTTGCCACATTTGTAGCAAGACCCTGCCCGACAGGCGCCATCGTGACCCTTGCCGCACTTCCCACAAGTGCGGCCCTTCTGGCTCCCGGGTCTGGGATCAGCGGGCTTGGCCCGCTTGGCTGCCGGCTGGGACTGTGCCGGCCGCCGATCCCTCCCCATAGACTCCGCCTCCTCCCTGGCCTGAGTCTCAAGCTCAATCTCCCTCTTCCGAGCATTTGCCTGAAGCTCGGCAAATGTCCGGTACGAGGAGTTCGCAGCGAACTCCCGAATATCCCGTCTCAAAATGCTCAGATAACGGCTCATACGTGCCTGCTCGGTGGATACGTGCTCAGGGCAAAACATCGCCCTCTCCTGAAACATCCTCGTAATCGCTGTAACTGACTCGGTACCCTGCTTGAGGGTCAGAAACTCCTGTGCCAGACGTTCCCTCTCCACCTGAGGAACATACTCATCTCGGAACATGGAAGTGAACCTCTCCCAGGTCACTGCCGCAAGCTCGGTCGGTGTGAAATGCGCAGTCACAAACTTCCACCAGTCCTTCGCTCCCAAGCGAAGCTGGTTCAGCGCGAACCGAACCTTCAAATGCTCAGGGGACGAGCAAGTGAAGACATCCCTCCATATCAGATATCCACCTCATAGCTGCCACCGGGTCCTGTGTACCATCAAACTCTGGTGGCTTGGTGTTGCTGAACTCCCTGAACAACATCGCATCACCTCCCTGGGGTCTTGCCGCAGCAATCGCTGCGGTAGCTGCTGCAACCGCAGCCTCAGAAAGAGCGGCATAGCGCTCGTCAAACGTCTCAATCAAAGCGGTCTTAATGGACCCGAACATCTCTGGTATCTCGGCTCTGATGACCGCAGCCACCTCCTCATGAATGATCTGTCGAATGTCCTCATCACTAGATCCGGCATCCTCCGGCATGTGTCGTGTCCTCACCATGATCAACCTCTGAAATACAACATGTGATAATTAGAATTCACTCGAACACCCTTACATTCAACAATCCACCCCTCCTTGATTCTTGGCATCCCCAGATTCTTATTTGAACTGTGTACCGCTCCGGTGCTTTTTAGTACGGGCCCAATACTACTGTCCGCACCGTCTCGGTACACACCCAAATCGTCCTCTTCGGATCCCAGTCCCCAAGTACTCTATTATACTTAAATCTCTCTGAACAGATCTCACACAAAACCCTAGCTGCTACCTAATTACTCTCAGCGTCTCGTAGCAGCTCACCATTCCCTAAGCTAAGGCATCACAAAACAGGCCACTCTAGCCCTATCAGCAATACCTAGCCTACTCTAGCATGCACACACACACAATAATAGTTATTACATAACAAAAGATATTTTGGGAATTCACCGTTCGGGCGCTGACTGATCGTACACACGTTTCTTCCTGGAAAACCCTTTACTCTTAGAAAATTTTGGTTTTTATTTTGAAAATATCTCTTCATTTCCTCAGTTTGAGTTCAAATACCCCGAAGGTGTACCCGATCCCTCAAACCAAGGCTCTGATACCAATTTGTAACACTGAATTTTTCAAACAAATTTTTTTTTTTAAAAGCATAATTCCATCAATATTCATAGAAACAACCCCTTTTAATTGTTCAACAAGATATTACAAAATCCCAAGATCAAAATGTCAAACTCCAAACGTGTGTGTACGGATCAAGCCGGCGCCTTCCCACGGTCGTCACTAGCACCTGAAACAAATAACATCAACACTGTAAGCACAAGCTTAGTGAGTTTCCCAAAATACTACATATAACACATATTAGCCACTCGAGGCTATAACTCTGTGGGTCCGTGCACCCAAACTCTGCGAACCCTCAGGTTCTAACTCTGTAAACATGCACAGCATCAAACATATAAAGTAATGCAGTACAACACATAACATACATAGCATACAATTACTCTATCACATAACTCTGGTTACCTACTCAAGGTAAAGTATAGTGAGAAGACTCACCTCGTGTGTCTCGGTAAACCGTAACCCTGAAATCGCTAAACACTCGATCTGCCGAGCTGAAGTCCCCCTATAGCACAATATATCTCTAATTAACACTTTCCCAACTAGGGTTGACTATACCATAACAGGACAATCTAGGTCAACGCTGGTCAACGGTTAACTTGACCGGACTCGGCGAGTGCACTATAGCGACTCGGCGAGTCTGAGCGAAATCACCAATTTCCCTGGAATCCTCTCTTGACATGTCGAGCATCCCTTCCCAACTCGACGAGCTCCACCTGGCATGAGTTGTGGGGCCACCACGACTCAACTCGCCGAGTCTCAAGAATGACTCGGCGAGTCCGGTTTGACTCGGTCCACCTGTCCATCCTGACCCCCCCCCCCTTGACCCACTGAGTTCACTCATCCCAGCTCGGCGAGGCCACTCGCTAAGTGGTCGTGCAGCATTCAAGCTACTCGCTAAGTGTTAGTTTTTTTATTTAATTACTTTTCATCAAAGTATATACTTTTTGATATAACATAAATTTGGTCAATTAGTCTCTTGTTATTCTTTACTTTTCTGTAAATTGGGTGTATTGGGGTTCAGTAGGGTAGATTTGGAATAAATGTTCTTACTAAATTTAACAACTTTATCAATAATCAAGATCCACTTTTTTGTTTGTGATTTAATTGGAATCATTTTTTTTTCTTTAAAGCAAGGCGTGGTGAATAATTGCTCATGAACATTTTCATGGAGGGTTGAATTTAGAAGAATACATAGTCTACAAGCATTTGTAGGTTCCAGCTTCTTTTTGAATCCTTTCATGTGATTATTTATGAAAAATGGTTGGTCAAAATTGAAGATAAGTAAAACTAGAACCCATCCTCGTCTTGCATATAAAGTATTTAATGTACAGATGGATTTTACTAATGACAATGAAATTACACTTCTTTAAGATTTACTCATGATATGGTATAACTATCTTTTGTATGGGTGAAGGCCGATGTTCCTTTACTCATGAGATGGTATCTTCTGATTGACTTCCATGGTGTTATTAGGTTTCACTCAAACACTTTGGATCTCTTTTTATGTATGTTGGCCATGAGGGTGGAGCCTATGCAAAGAACAGCTTTGGGAATGTGTATGTTATTCAAACAAAATGTTAAAAAAATAAACGAATAAAAGGTCAAAAAGCTGATCATTCATTGACTTCCACTCAAGGTCAATTCCCATTCTCAATTCCGATTCATCATGACATTTGTTTACCACAATTGGAAATAGTTTAGTAGTTGTGAATCGATTACCTGAACCTAATGAAATGTAGGCTTTTATTTTTTTTGTTTGGATGTGAGTGGGTTTTTTTGTTAGCAGGTGAGCTTGCACATACATTGCGGTTTTTGGCATCAGTTGTATCTCAAAGCTTCTGGCCTTTGGTGACATCTTGGAGCTGCATAGAAAGTTCATCGAACTGTCTGGTGGTGTTAATTGGATTTTTGAACTTGAGGAACTTCTTGATGCTGCACAATCTGGTTAGTGTTTTATCTAATCTTTTAGGTTGTTCCTTATTTACTAATAATCTGATGGAAATTGCAGATGAAAATGCTGGTGCTTCATCAAAGTCCAATGAGGAATCTGAGGATGTTATCTCTCTTTTGGAGGTTGATATTATCATTCCAATGAGGAATCTGAGGATGTTATCTCTCTTTTGGAGGTTGATTTGTTGTTCATCAAGTTGGTTGGTATGCACCCTATTCTATGTCCAACACAACAAGGATGATGATGGTGCATTTATATCTTCTTAACCTGTTACCTAATAATTTTTCTCATCTTATTACATCATATTTCTTCATTTTTAACTCCTTATGTAACACTGATCTTTCAAACAATTTTTTTTTTTTTTTTTTTTTTTATAAAAGCATAATTCCATCAATATTCATAGAAACAACCCCTTTTAATTGTTCAACAAGATATTACAAAATCCCAAGATCAAAATGTCAAACTCCAAACGTGTGTGTACGGATCAAGCCGGCGCCTTCCCATGGTCGTCACTAGCACCTGAAACAAATAACATCAACACTGTAAGCACAAGGCTTAGTGAGTTTCCCAAAATACTACATATAACACATATTAGCCACTCGAGGCTATAACTCTGTGGGTCCGTGCACCCAAACTCTGCGAACCCTCAGGTTCTAACTCTGTAAACATGCACAGCATCAGACATATAAAGTAATGCAGTACAACACATAACATACATAGCATACAGTTACTCTATCACATAACTCTGGTTACCTACTCAAGGTGAAGTATAGTGAGAAGACTCACCTCGTGTGTCTCGGTAAACCGTAACCCTGAAATCGCTAAACACTCGATCTGCCGAGCTGAAGTCCCCCTATAGCACAATATATCTCTAATTAACACTTTCCCAACTAGGGTTGACTATACCATAACAGGACAATCTAGGTCAACGCTGGTCAACGGTCAACTTGACCGGACTCGGCGAGTGCACTATAGCGACTCGGCGAGTCTGAGCGAAATCACCAATTTCCCTGGAATCCTCTCTTGACATGTCGAGCATCCCTTCCCAACTCGACGAGCTCCACCTGGCACGAGTTGTGGGGCCACCACGACTCAACTCGTCGAGTCTCAAGAATGACTCGGCGAGTCCGGTTTGACTCGGTCCACCTGTCCATCCTGACCCCCCCCCTTGACCCACTGAGTTCACTCATCCCAGCTCGGCGAGGCCACTCGCTAAGTGGTCGTGCAGCATTCAAGCTACTCGCCGAGTCTGTTCTTCGGACTCGGCGAGTCGGAGCCATGCACTGACTCAATCTCGCTCTAAAGGCCAGATCCAGTCCACTAATCCATAGATCCAGTCCCCCCAAGCTTATTTAGCACGTAAAGTCACAATCTTGATGCATAAATAACCTCTACATGATCACAAATGATGTTTTTGACTCTACTACTTCAACACAAGGCCAAGGACTCCATTTCCACCCATAAAGCTTGATGAGTGAGGCCCTCTGGACCTCTATGGATCCAGATCCATGGTCTCAACTCAAAGAGGGAACAAAAGGGCACCAAATCACCCCATAATGATCATATTAAGCCCTAACTTGCATCAAGTTTCACCAAACAGAAAATGGTCCGAAAATATTACCTTTAAAGTGATGATCCAAGCTCCAAATCCACGAAATAGCAACCTCCTTTGCCTCCTCTTGCCTAGAGCCTCCTTCTTCTTGCTAAACAACACTCACAAGGTCAAGATTTGCTCTCAATCCTTCACCAAACGCTCAAGAACTCTAGGGACACACTCTGGGGGTTGGATGAGCGCAAATGACGGCCATAAGGCCCCTTAAATAGGCCACAAATCTGGGGGTTTAGGGTTCCATAACACAGTGCAGACTCGCCGAGTCCAAGCGCGCACCTTCGCTCAATCCCGCGCACCTACTCGGCGAGTCTGAGCCCTGACTCGCCGAGTCCCTCTTACAAAATAATACAATTAAACTTACATTATACCTGGTAAAAATCCGGATGTTACACCTTAATTTATCAATCTAATCATTATTAACTTCATTCTTGTAAAACCAGATGTCTATGCTATATAATGATTGGTTTTCCACTTTTCATGGTGGAAGTGGACAGAGGGTTTCTCTTTCGCAGTTTGTAACATCTTGTATTCAAGAAATCTTGCTCTGACCGATTAAATTATTGCTAACACATATTAATTAACTACTGTACGCATATCAAATAATTCTTGAATTGTTGGTTTTTGATTATATGCAGTCAGGTTCTTTTATCTTTTATCCCCCGCTTTAGTAGCCATCTTTGGAAAGCCCTTGTTCTCAAAACAAAACAGGTGATTCTTACAATTGTCAAACTGAATTTTATCTATGGTTCTGGTTGCATAATTATTGTATTCATCATTTTAACTGAGATCTTATTTTACTTTGTCAGGATATGGACATGCAAGATAGAGAACTAGTAAATGACTGGCTCATGATCATAGTTTACAAAGAACGTGGTTTTGGATGAAAAACATATTACCATGTGGTATGCATCTTCCTTGAAACTTCATGATCTTAGGCCTCTGTGTTTGTTTATTTAAGGTGTTAGCATAAATGGGAAAGCATACTTTTGAATGTCACATTGTTGCCTTCACTTATAATTTGCATAATGTCGATTGTGCTTTAGAATATTATTAATTTATTTTTATTTCTCCTTAGTAACTGTGGGCATAGCACCACCTGTTTTTGTGTTTCTTTTATTGTGAGGGCAATCCTTAACTGTACCACTGGTTCCGATTATTTTGGTCTCTTAATGGGGTATTTAACCCTTGGCTGGGAATTAAATAGTTAAGCAGATTTTTGTGATGCTTATCTGAACTTGAAGAGTTTTTTCACCTCTTGAACGTGAGAATAGAGTTTCTACCTGATCCTTTATAGGGGATACTTTTGACTGGTGCAGGGAAACTCTAATGTTACTATGGATTGTCTTAATTGCCTTAGTTTCGACTGATGCAGAGTGTTTGACCAACACTGATGCTAATGCTTAATGCTATACTGATTTGTATTTCTTTGTTGGTAAGATATTTGTATGCTAAACCAGATGCTAATGCCTAATGCCTAATGCTATCACTTGTGGTTTAATTCAGATTCTGGGACAAAAAGAGTCATAGCTGGGCTGTTAATGTTCCTGTTTGTTTTCATTTATGCAGGTAACAATCTTGTAGAAAGGACTTATGAATCAGATGTTAATGGTAACAAGTTTAACACTCGAGTCCATACTATTAGATGTTAATGGTAACAAGTTTAACACATGTGTCTTTGTTATACATACAGATTAAATGCAATGGATTGTATTTTTTGTATATGGTATTTTATTTAATATTATGCAATGGATTGTATTTTTTGTATATGGTATTTTATTTCTATTATGAGAGATTAAATGCAAATTTAATTTATAAATTAATAAATATATAAATATATATATTTTTTTTAAAAAATTAAAATTACGATACGCAAAAATGCATGTCGTCTTCATTTATGACATGGCCTTTCTTGACGGAGGCTTCCTTGATACGCATTGCGTGTTATAAACACGTGCGTCGTAAAGTTACGACACGCAAATGCGTGTCGTCTTCCTTTATGACAGGGTCTTCCTTGATACGCATTGCGTGTCATAACCGCGCGTCGTAAATGCGCGTCGTCTATAGACGACGCGCAAAAGCGCGTCATCTCTCTTTATGACAGGGCCTTCCTTGACGCGCATTTGCGCGTCGTCTAAGCGTTTTACGACGCGCAATGAGCGTCGTAAAAGGCCTTTTTTCTAGTAGTGATGCCCCTATGTCCAAAAATAATTAGTTTTATTGTCTATATCTACCTACATACAAATCAATAGAAACTAATGAAACTAACTACAAACCATTGAATCCTTAACTCATACTATCAAAACATAAAAAATAAAAATATCATTGTATTTCTCAATTACAAAAACCTCAACAACAAGCATACTCCATTTACAATGTCCCTTTCTTTTATTTAATTCCCAGGACAGTGGATGATTTCCTCCTTAATTAATCAGATTATCCACATATCGGGTCATCACAAATTGAGGTCGAATCATGTTATCATTTATGAAAGTATCCACAACTACATTTCAATCCAAGATTTACTTCTTTTCATCGCTGTTAGTCCAACTAAATCCTTTTTACATTTTAAGCACAAGGTTTCATCTATGAACAATATCTTGGCACTTCAATGATACTTTTATACACAACATCATGAATTTCATAACTTGCTGAACCCTATATAACAAAACAAATATTAACAGAAATAGTGAAAAATGTAGCAAATTATACCTATACTTTCAGAAAAAAAAATCATAAGATAAAACTAGCTACAATATTAATGAACTAACCAAGATTAAAACAATACCTTGATTTCACATTGACCTACAACTATGACCATCTGTATATGATGTGGAACAGCCAACAGATGAGCAAAACCCTACAAACGGAAACTAATAAAAACAAAAAACTAAACTGGAACTAGAAATGTAAGACCTATTAGAAGACGACTCCCAGTAATTGAAAAATGTGATATATAGCCTCACAAAAAAATTAATAAGGTCACTCACAAAACTTAACATTTTGACAATAATTCAAACCACTTCTTTGTATTAGCTCATTAAATTTCCTACAAAATCGCTCTTTTTTTGTAGGAAATTAACATCATATTTATCAAAAACTTCACAAATCTTCAGGTTTTTCGGAGGCTGATTCAAAAAAAAAATCAAATTTAGAATACAGTGAACATAAATCGGAAATTGGAATGAGAAAAAAGAAATTAGAATAAGAAAAAAAATCCAATTCACCCAATCCAAAAATCAAAAGCCTCAAAATTCTTTCATATTTCTGATGTTTTCTTAATAATAAAAAAATAAGAAACCCATTATACAACAAGGTTATCACCAATCGAGTACAAGTGAATACAACAAATGCACAAACACTTAAGTAATACAAATCAACATTTGGATTATTTGATGATATAGCGAATGCGTGTAGTAGGTTTTAAGAAGGAAGGAGAGAAACTAGAATGAGAATGAAATAAAAATCAGTCAGATTAGAGGGATAAAAACGTACACATTCTATTAGAGGCTCCTCGATTTCTACAAATGCATTTTTCTAGACAGTAGATAAGTTTGGCGATTGCTATTCTCAAAATGCTTTGATTATTTGGCTGACGCCCATGCTCTTAGGCCTTAGCTATTGCCTCCCAGATGGATGAGGCACACAAACACCAGTGAACCAAACCACTTATTGGATTATACTTTGGGCCACAGTCACATATATACTACTACTTATGGGACTAGATTTATGCCCCTTTATTTTTGCTGTCCTGGGCCAAAGCCCAAATCCCCCCGGTATTAGGTTGGGATTGTATACAATATAAGTTGAAACTAGTTCAAACTAGGGGTTACAAGTGCATCACAGATGTTGTTACAAAAAGTGACCCTCTTTTAGCTAAGGAACCGAGGTCTGAGTTTTTGGTGCTACCGAGGTTGGAGAAGATTTTTTGTGAACCGCAACCGCAACCATAACAACTACCACATAAATGAATGATGAAGACTTTCTTGTTACTTTACTGACTTAGCGTGTTTACTTTATTTTGTTTAGTAAACCTTGCATGGTCAATGAAGTTGGTAGAATAGTATTTATTTATTTTCAATGTAACTTTTCGGGACTCTATAAATAGAGACTCCCTCTTCCTGTATCAAACACACCTTCACGGCCTTTCTGAAATATTATTGCAATATAAAGATCATTCATATATATCTATTATCTTTCGATAAACTGAGTCCCTCTTCACCTTAAGTTGATCAAATTTTCTAACTTATGTTTGAATGCAAACCTCATTACGAATCAACTTGGTGTCTACTTGATATAACATGTTGTCATTTATATTTCCTTTACATTTCCGCGTCTAACAACCTAACATTTCTAACTTGTTATTGTTGAGCTAACAAGATCCTTGAAATTAACTTATTCCTCAATTTATATATTCTACTAACGTTTGTTCAAGTGTTCTTCAATGTTTTTCTCTCAACAATTTGTATCAGAGCCAAAATGGTTGTTTTTTAAACAAAACTTTGATTTTAGAAAGCCTTCTATACCACTGAAGCTCATTCTTAAAAAAAAAAAAGGAAATATGGCACATGCTTTATCATTGAATGTTTCCAATAGTGTTGGAGGCTCTAATAGAGCTCCAATAATTGTTGTAAGTGAATACCACCATTTGTCTCAAAGAATGGAAAGGTATCTTAAGAGGCTCGGGAGAGCTGTATGGAGGTCTGTGGAAGATGTACCTCATGTCCCGATTCTCACTCTTGCTCAAGAAGATGGTGCTCAATCACGACTAGGAGGAGGTCAGACAACCATGAATCGACTAACAAATGATGATCTTGACAAAATGGAGAAAGGTGCCATAGCCTTCTACAAAATCTCGTGTGGTGTTGCTCCAGACAACTTCGACATCACCATCAACTGCAAATCTGCTAAGGAGATCTGGGATGTGCTAAAAACACTTTATCAAGGGTCTGAACAAGCTCAAGACAATAAACTCACCACTGCACTCAATGAGTTCAACAACTTTAAAGCTCTTCCCGGTGAAAGTCTTGAAGATTTGTTCAAAAGGTTCAACCTCTTCATCACAAAGCTATCAAATGCTGGTACGGTTCGAAGCAATCACGAGACAAATCTACAATTCCTAAATGGTTTGGTTTGACAATGAACCACAACAAAGATGATAGTATAAGGAGATAGAAAGATTCACACTCTTTCACTATTCAAACTCTACAGTGAATTGCAAGCACAAGAATCTACGGTGTTAAAAGACTGTGCAAACTTAGGAGGACCACTTGCTTTGATGGCACAAAACCTGTAGTTCAAACATCCTCAGAACCCATATACCGCAGAATCATCATACCAACACACATATGACAACCCACCGCAGTCATATGAAGCCGATGTTGAACTAGATGACGAAGAAGAGTTTCAAAATGCCATTGCTTTGGTCAGTCAACAATTCAATAGACTCCCATCACCATCCTTTCGCAAAAACCAACAATTCACCAAACCACCTTTCAATCGCAACTTCAACCTATAGAATAACCATCCACAACATCCCAGAAACCCTCACCATCCTTCAAAACCATAGAACACTTCTTCAAAGGAGCCACCGCAGAACAACAAACCTTCAGACTCCAGTACCACTATTGAAGACAAAGATGGAGTCGTTATTTTTCATAAGTGTCAAAAGGAAAACCACTTTGCCAAAGACCGCAAAGCAAATATGGCAAAAGACAAGACATTTTATCTTTGAATGGCTCAAGAAATGGAGGAAAAAGAAAAAGTAAGGGCTTATGTTGCTCAAGTGAAAAGGGATCACCAAGTCTGGTCCTCTGGTGAAGAAGAAGAAGAAGCTGACAACTACCGCAACAAAGGGAAAATTTGTGTGGTGGAAACTAATGAAGAA